AGTTGTTCTTCTGAACTGATTTTGATCACATTTTTAAGGTCATTTTCCTTTGCTTTTAGTTTTTTTTAAACATATTAGGAGCATTTTATTGTTCATTTTTGTCGATGATTTAGGGCATCAAAATCTGCCCCCTAGTCGGTTTGTCCTGTGCCGTGTTGAGTTTGAATTTAGTCAGAATTGAATATAGAAATCTCAGTTAAAGAGTCGCGATGGCGAGCGAGCTTTTATGATTGACCTTCGGAAGGGGAATTGACTCGTGATTACTTCATTCCCGTTTAAATGAACAACAGTATAATTTGAAAATTCTAATTACATGTGAATGAATTTTCATGAAAAATTATAAAACACGAGATCAAAGTGTTTACAGCGTAATGATATTTTGTTGAATACACCTCATCGAGCCCCCAGTCACATTAAGTTCACATGAAGTTCTCGTTTCTATCTGCATGTCACTTCGGAAACATTCACCGTCTAAATATCAGTTGTTAACAGGACAATAATTTGCCCGTAATTTTTTTTCGAAACTGTAATGAGAAAGTGCCCTCCGTTATAATCACTCTTCAAACCTTTATTTGACCACACTTGCCAAATGTTTAACATGACCTAAATCAATCCACTGTTTTTTAGTCATAGTCTCTTCGCCCTTCCTTTCGATCCCATTCTTCCCACTTATTTCGTGCATATTCTTTGCCTACGTAACCTTGTGCCTGACACGTAGTTTCCATTGCATATTTCACAACCATTCGTACGCACTTTCCGTATTATTTTTCGTTTGGCAAACGCCACATCGCACTTCATTAAACTTACAATGCCATACTGCCCTTGGCCGGGCTTTTCAAATCGCGCCATTGACGCTTTTTGTGTACGCACTCAGCTCGCCGGGCTGGGCCGCTCGTGGAATAACAGTGCGCTGAAACATTCCACTGCAACAACGCGAACGCCACAGAAGGGGTGCAACGCGATACTTGACAGAAAAAAACCCAACCTGCCGTCAACATGACGACTCAATAATGAAGTCGTGGTAACATTGAAATGACATTTCAGAACACTGCCCCATTCTCTCCATTTGCACTTAATTTCATCGGCATTATGTTGCTTTGCTATTAGTTTTTGATTTTTTTATAACTTACAATTAATTCTGGAAGAATAAATTGCCAATGACCTTAAAAATGTGATCAAAATCAGTTCAGAAGAACAACTCAAGCTGTTGGGGTATATTGCTAAAGTAATAGAGGCTTTTTCCTTTCGTTCAAGTGAAGCTTGCTGGTAAACTTTTAATTCGAACTGTTCTTTACTAGAAAATCTGCCTTTAAGAATCGCGAAATCGGCCGCACCGACTATGGAGCATAAATGTCCTGCCCTTGAGGTTACTTAGTCTGAGTGTAGCTCAGAGTCAGCATTGCCTTTGTGTCTGGCGATTCTGGCCGGGAGCTTCTTGGGTTCGAGACTCGTCGGTGGCGGAATTTCGACACTGGTTAGATAGCCAAGTCGAGTTCAGCCTGGAAGATAATTCTAGCGGCCGGCTGCTCTGATGGGTAGTTTTCCGCGTATTCTCCGAACAATATCAGGCGAATGCTGGTGCAGTATCCTAATAAACGGGCCACGGACCGCGCGATCTTTCCTTCCTCTTCCTCGTCCTATCGTGACCCCTTACTTACACACATACTTTCTTTCTGTACCCTACCAGTCGGGAGATTAGAGGTACTCCCGTTTACGGCAGTGCCGCGGTTGGGGGAAATACCTGCTATAGGAAATTTCCCGCAAAGCGTCGTGTAGGTCGGCGCCGGTTCTCGTAATCCAGCTGGGGGGAATCACCGCCACCTCCCGGAATAAAACATTCACTAGCGAGACTAATAATCATAACAGTTGGCTGTCCGAAAACATCAATCAATCGTCAGGTTGTGTGGGCAGCGCCACGTCTTTTAGAAGCCATCTGTTACAGAGATCCTGTAGCCGTATTCGTCTGTTCGGTTGAAACATAGACTCTACAATTCCTTGCGGTGTTTTTCTTACAGGAAAAAGAAAACACAATGCAGTTCATTTACTAGAGACCATTTATTCGTCAAATTGGGCTGCCCCTTGTCGCATGTACGATTCATACAGAATAGACCAATGTCTCGCGATTCGTATAGCGCAACTGAGGTGATTTCATGCGACATATCTTTGAACCTGCTCCTGTAACAAACAATTGGGTACATGGAGAATTTGAAACCAGAATCAATGGGGTATCAGGAACATTGTTCCGAGTTCGAGAACCATCCTATCGGTAATTGCTTTCCCATTTCCTGTCTCAACAGGGAAAGCTAAATTACGCAGTCCGACCGGCCCAGGCGACAGAAATTGTCGAGAGAATTACTCTTCAGCAAATCGATTTTTTTCTGTTATTTTTTTTTTGTGAGACGTCATAAAAATGTATGTATCTGTGAAACGCAGAATATTCCATCCATTTCGGGGAGGTAACAAAGTTCATACTCAAACAGTGTTTCTGTCGTCTTTATCGACATTTCATCGGAGTAATAAAATTACGATTTAAACGGGGAAAAGTTTCAAACTGAATGCCAAAATAGTAATATCATTTGTACAAAAAAAGGGTTCACAATTTGGACTACTGTTGACCAATTCGGTTGAATCTGGCATATCCTACGAATACTTCTCTCAAAGTATCGAAAATGATTTATTCTCTTCCATCACTGCGAGTCAAAAACATTTGAATGCTCGGAGTTCTTTTTCTGTGCCATTTATATGTTCACCGCAATCTTTTAAGTATTGCAAATACAACGTACGTTCTCAACCCAATGTTATGCACAACGCTGTCCTTTCGTGACGAGACTCTCGGCGAACCTTGTTAAGTCGTACTTATTGAGCTGGAATGAATGTTCGTTCGGCTTACTTTCCAGGGTTTGGGTTGTCTGTTGCGGGAAGCGAAATTCGGGCACCAACCAGGATCCGAAAATAAGGTTGCCGTTTATGCGAACATTCGACTTCCGGCGTATTACCGGAACTGCGAATAACAAAATCTTCAAATGATTACTGCTAAGCGCCTTCAATGAAAGTTCACAAATTTTCGTTTAACTCGATAAAATTCGTTAGCTTTTTATCTTTAGATATCAAAGCCCAAAGAGCCTGGGCGAATGCGTGCCATGTCCAGCAAAGGAGAACCTTCTCCTAGCAACACTCGTCTTCTCTCCGCCGAAGTTGATGGGCGCCTGCGAGAGACCCTACGTAACAGTTAAATGATGCCACGCGATACCTGCACTCTGCGTTAAGCACCGTTTAAACGAGTACAGCTAGCTGGCGCACATTGGCGTCGTGTAAACACCTGAAGACAGCGCGAAAGTGTTTGTACGTCAGCGGACCCGGAGAGATGGCTCAGGGCATCAACTTATGTCACTGCAGTTCCTCTGACCGGGAGGTCCTAAGTTCGAGTCCAGATGGTAGCAGGATTTTCGACACTAGCTTGTAGGGGTCTGGAGAAGAATTCTATTGGTCGGCTGCTCTGATCGGTTGTTTTCCGTGGTTTCTCCCATCAACACCAGGCGAATGCCGGAGCAGTACCCCAAACAAACAAACAAACAAACCACTGTCCGCGCGCGATCTCACCTTCCTCTCCCTTGTCTCAACCCCACCCCTTATTGATATTGGCACACACATTGTTGCCAGATATCGGGCTGTTACCGAAGTTTGCAGATTCAAACACAATCAAAGCCATTTAAGGGCCAAAAATATCCTTCGTATGCCTTCCTTCGGAGGGGAAGTAAAGTTTGCTGTCCCATGTTGTAGATTTACTGTATGTAAAAGATCCTCAAGCCTAAAAGGATCCTTCGAACTAAATTCGAATCGCTAGATGGTGAAAGGAGCTTAGCGAAATTTACGAATTCAGGCGGAAGAGCAGGCCTGAGTGTCGCCACGTAAAATAAGGCATTATTGAATTGTATTAACAGTTGACAGTAAATGCTGAACATAGTGAACTGTCGCGGTTGAAATCCGCAGAAGACCGTCATACAGGGGGCGTTCGGAAGTCGCCCCGGAAAAGAGCGCTAGCTGCTATGGCTCAGAGGCAGCACTATTGCCTCTGCAGCATCGTCACCCTTAGAATCTAGTCCTAACGGTGGCGGATTTGCGACACTAGATGCACAACTGGGATTCAACCACTGACCGAGGAGAATTCTAGAGGCTGGCTTCTGTGTTAGTTTTCCCTAGTTTCTCCGATCAGCGCCTGGCGAAGTCTGAAGCAATACCCTAACAGGCCGCGGACCACGTGCGATCTTCTCCGCACTGTTTCTGTCCAGTCCTATGCCTATACACTCACACTCACTCACTCTCACACACACACACACACACACACACACACACATGTACTAAAGATAAGAGAGACCAATAGTGAGCTTAGAGATCTTCCCGACTGGGGCGGTGCCCCACCGAGAGAGATGCCTGGAGGGAGAAAATTCCGCTTGTCGATGGATGAAGGTTGGTAGTAGATCTCATGTTTGGTGGAACGCGGTCACGAACTCAGATATAACATACAATGCTAAGGGACTACGCTCTAACTACGTGCCCGGAAGCAAACAACTAGCTCACCCGGGAAAAGAGCGAAATGGCATGATGCGCGACGTGACGTGAGGCGACGCGATGCGACGTGAGGCAATGTGATGCGACGCGACGCGACGTGAGACATGCGACGCGACGCGACGCGATGCGATGCGATGCGATGCGATGCGATGCGATGCGATGCGATGCGATGCGATGCGATGGGATGCGACGCGACGCGACGCGACGCGATGCGACGCGATGCGACGCGATGCGATGCGACGCGACGCGATCCGACGAGACACGATGCTTGAACGCGATGCGATGAAATGCAGCCCAACGGACGCGATGCGATGGGACGCGAAGCAAGGGGAAGCGATGCGATGAAATGTGACCAAACGGACTCTATCTGATGCGATGCGATGTGATGCTATTACATGCGATGCGAAATGACGTGTTGTGTGGTGTTGCAGTGCACTTCCAGCGCATCGTGCACCGCGACCTGAAGCCGTCCAACCTGCTGCTGGCGGCGGACGGGCGCGTGCAGATCGCCGACCTGGGCGTGTGCTCCGAGTTCGAGGGCAACGACGCCGCGCTCTCCTCCACCGTGGGCACGCCGGCCTTCCTGGCGCCCGAGGCGCTGGGCGGCGGCGCCGGCCGCTTCTCGGGCCGCGCGCTTGACGTGTGGGCCCTCGGCGCCACGCTCTACGCCTTCGTCTACGGGCAGGTGCGCCTTCTGCTTCTTCTACACTGTTTTGCCTTTTCCCTGCTCTTCTTGTCCACCAATCTCGTCGTGTTTTTTCCTAAATCGTTCCTCTTCTTCTTTACCAGTATCGCCTTTCTCCATATTCGTTCCTTGTCCTGATCTCTAAGGCTGTCCTCCGTTTTCTGCTTTTTCACCAGTTCCTTCACCTCCTTACCTTTCACATTTCCTTCCGATATTTCTCCCTCTTCCTTTTCTTCCTAGTTCTCCCTCTCCTCTTCCTCTTCTTCCTCTTCTTCCTCGGTCTCCCTCTCCTCTTTCGTCTCCACTTTTTTCCTCCTCTTTTCCTTCTCTTGCTCGTCTACTTTTTATTGTTTGCTGGCTATCCATTCTTCCTTTTCTTTACCTGTTCCGCGCCCACTTCTTCAATGCATTCTTTATCCATTCTTCATCTTCTGCTACAATTTATTTTCCTACTCCCGTTTCTTTTTCTTCTAATTATTTCTCCATTACGGTTGTTTTTTCTAACGTGCACCTTATCGTCTTCCTCTTTTTAACCCGTTATTCGTCGTCTTCTTCCTGTTCTTTACTCGTCACCTGTTATACCCATTTACCATCATATTCTTCTTTTCTATTCTTGTCCATTTTTCTGCCTAACCATTGCTCTCCCGTTCGCTTTTCATCGTTGCCGTATCATTTCCCTTCCTAATTTAACTCTTTCCCAACTGTCCCCGCCGTTTGCTCGGCGCTCCCCGTGCCCCGCGAGGTCTCCGCAGCAGAGGGCCGGTGCGTTGCAGGTGCCGTTCAGCGCCGACTCCGTGCCTGCCCTGTACCGGCGCATCCTCAGCGAGCCCGTGCGCTACCCGGAGCAGCCGCAGGTGTCGGCGCCGCTGCGCGACCTGGTGGCGCGCCTGCTGGAGAAGGACCCGCGGCGCCGCATCACGCTTCCAGACATCAAGGTGCGTTGCCGCGAACGCACGCACGCACGCGTTCGGGCGGCGGTGCCGTACCGTAAGCGACTCGTGACAGTGCGCTGCGCCCACTCATTACTACGCACATATCACATACATCGCAGATTAAGTAAATCTACAAACATTGACGCTTACTGACAGGCTATGATACGTCGTGATATGTTCATATCTTTCGCCAAGGACAAATATTTTCGACTTCGTGTGAGTCAGATGAGCGGCAACGCTGACCCCTGACTGTAAGAAAGTAAACAAATCATCGCAAGCTGATTGCTACAGAGCAGGTCACATCACGAACCTCATCACGTGGCGAGAGAACTCTGAGTCGGTTATACGCTGACGGTACTGTAGTTATTGAAGATTGTACAGTGTTTTTTTTTTGTATTTTAGGGGTGGATTAATCAGACTTTTGCCAGCTAGCAGTGTACCCCAAGCCTGGACTTTTTTTTCTATCCACGCTTGGGAGTAAGGGAGATATGGCGTATTTGACGTATTTGTCGTATCTTGTAAATGTTAAAGACGTTGTTGTAAAATTCGAACTACAGGGAAAAGTCTTGAAACTAAATTGTTTTTTATTTTGTTGCTGAGAAAATCCATTATTTTTCAAAGGAGAAGCAGTCGACCGGAAGTCGGTGAAAACTGTGACGCTCTTATGATTGAGACGTCACCCTGATCACCAGGACTCGAATTGTGATACCTAAAAATTCTCTGAAAATTATCTATAAATATGAGGAAAGTGGTCTAAAGAGACATAAAATAAGGGGAAATTATCTAATGTTTCAAGAAATACACTAAGTGTATAAAAATGTTTAATTCAATGAAGATTACGATTTTAAATAAAATTAACTTCTAGAAAATTATATTTAATATAAACTCTTAATTTTAGGACGAAATGTAATCCTTAGCTCCGATTTTCTAACAGTGAGTTTTGAAAGGTCGAGAAAGTTACCGAAGATTCGTGTAATTTTGAGAGTTTGAAAAACAGGCTCCACTGCAGTAATGAACTTCGTCATGACCTGATGATACAATAAAATTTTGCTTTAGTGTGACATAGTAGATTCATGAAACATTCACTATCAAAAAATACGAACAAAACAAAATTCGTAAAAATTATTTTTTTAAATTGCGGCAAAGCCCAAAAAAATGACAAAAATTGGGAAAATGGCAAACAAATGACAAAAAACAATAGCTATACATTTCTAACACCTTTATGTCGTGAGAACTATTCAGTTAAAAGTTAGTGACGTCAAGACTACACCAATGAAAATATGACAAGTCTTCAGAATCCGAGCCTTGCAGATCACCTGTAATCTCGAAACGAACAGTGCGATGTGTCTTTCTTTTCTTTCTTTTTTCTTTTATTTTTTTCTATTCTTTTCTATTAGTTTCTATTCTTTTCTATTAGTTTATATTCTTTTCTATTAGTTTATATTCTTTTCTATTAGTTTATATTCTTTTCTATTAGTTTATATTCTCTTCTATTAGTTTATATTCTCTTCTATTAGTTTATATTCTTTTCTATTAGTTTATATTCTTTTCTGTTAGTTTATATTCTTTTCTGTTAGTTTATATTCTTTTCTGTTAGTTTCTATTCTATTATTGTTCTTTCTATTCTTTTCTTTTGTTTCGTGCCTGGCGCGGTGTGGCGAGCGGCGGGGCGTGTGTGTGCGCAGGTGCACGAGTGGGTGACGGACGGCGGCGCCGCGCCGCTGCCCTCCGAGCAGGAGAACTGCCAGCGCGTGGAGGTGACGGAAGAGGAGGTGGAGGCCGTGGCGCAGAGCATCCCGCGCCTCGGCACGCTGTGCCTTGTCAAAGCCATGCTGAAGAAGCACTCGTTCCAGGTGCGCGCCTCTTTGCCTCCTTCGGCACACCGCAGGCCCTCCGGCCGGGAGGTCCTAGGTTCGACGGGATTTCCGACACTAGCTCGTCAGCTATAGCACGTCCGAGGTTTAAAAATGTATGGGCTTTTCCGGTGAATAAACATCCCTCCACTTTTTAAGATTTCAAAACTGTTTTAAATTCTCATTAACATTATTTGTCGTAAGATCAATTACAGTAGTAAAATATTAACTGGAATACATTACATATTTACCATATCGTGGTGTATATCTTTAGAATGTATTAATTTTCCTAGGAAGGGATATGTTCGGTTGTTGGATCAACCATAGCTGCGGTGCCATGTGCTCCGGTTGCCGTATCATACTGTGCTCAGAAAGTTCGCGTTCCGGTTGTTTACCTGTGTTTGTTCGCCTGTGTTGTGTTTTGTTTTTTGAGATTTATGGTCAATCACGTCAAAGTTGTATGTAATTTTCTTTACATTTCCTCGTTTTGGTTTCTAGGTTTTGGTAAACTTATTAATTTACATTTTAAAAAAATGTAATTGCTGTTTCTTTGCGAAATTAATTTAGAATGTGTGACCCATTAACCGTAAAGCGGTAGAGTCATAAACTGCTCCCTACTGGAAACAAAAACATGGTTAAATAATGTTTATAACTCTTAAACTATAATTATGTTTTCGACCGGGATCCCTACTCAATGGCTACTCCGTGGATGAAATCAGTTTGTTCCCATTGGTCCTACGTTGTTTGTCGCCAAAGGAATATTTTATATCATTTTGTTTCGTAATCAAAACTTTCGAAACAAATCAAATACAAATCAAACCTAATCAAATTTCTCTACTGTTGAAAAGGAAACAAGAGCCTTGGCCTTTTTGCAACTCGTTAGCTTGAATTTTGAATACTGTATTAAAATAGTGGTGCACTTTAAAATTAATTTTTCTTCCTGATTTCTCATGACATTTCGAAGCACAAAGGACGTGAAAAGCTTAACAGATACGTTTCCTGTGTATCGGAGTCTCATAGGAATAGTTTTAGATGTGAAGGAAGGAAAGAAAATACAATTTCATAAAATGTCAAAGGTTCCAGATAAAATACTTTAGAGCTATGCCAGCGCTCCGCCCAATTGTGCATTCGTCGTCGCCAACGAGCGCGTAACTTTCGAAAGCGCCACTTTTGGCCCCACTCTTGTCATAAGACACCGTACTTTATTCCTAACCTCGGACGCGCTATAGGTCGAATTCAGTCGCAGTCTGGAGTAGAATCCTAGCGCCCGGCTGCTCTGATCGGTAGTTTTCTGTGATTTCTCCGATCATCATCAGGTGACTGCCGGAGCAGTACCCTAACAAACTGGTCACGGACCGGCACGATCTTGCCTTCCTCTTACTTGTCCTATCCTCACCCCTCACTGAGGCAAATTTACGAGTACTAGACTAAAACACGTGTCGATAGACCAGTCGGAAGCTTAGAGGTACACCCCGCTGGGGCGCTGCCCCGCTAGTGGGGGACAAACCTGCTACCAGACTGTAGGTCTGCGCTGGATCTCGACTTAGAACGGGCGAAAGACTACCGCCACATCCCGAGCAAAACATGCACTACACTTCCGGGAGTAATAGTAGATGTTCCCGGAATCACTAACAATGAATCCTAGGTGTGCGGGAATATAACTCGCTGACTTCGGATTCATCCTATACGGTATGAAATGATGCGAACGGACACGACGCGATCCGACACGGACCGAGCGGACACCACCCGATCCGACATGACTGTATCCACCAAAACTGATCTGATATGAGCCTTGTGAGTCGTTGGTCCCGTCACTTTCCTACACGCTCCGATGTGATTCGTTATGACCCGATCAAAACAGAAAGCAAAATCTACACGTGGAGGTCCACTTGCGGACCGGGTACCTGATACGTATGAAATACAAATAATACAGTATGTAGGGTGCGCAGTACTTAGGGAATGCAACATTGGTGGCATTCAAATGGACCTTTTTTTAGTCATTGCATAAACCTCATGAAGACCTGTTGTCAAGGGAAGACAGGGAATGAATGGGACTGTCTAGGAATTTGAATACGATATTTCCATATAAGGCTGGAATTGTCAGTTGCCTTTACGTGTGAACCTCGTGTTTTTTTGCTTTGTCAGAACCCGTTCGGAGGCGGCAGCGGCGCGCGGCGGGCTGGCAGCGCGTCCACGGAGCGGTGCGAGGGC